GAATTGGATTTCATGATTAGTCGGATTATTTGTCGGATTTACGGTAGTTCGGGCTAATTGTAAGTGAACGAAGATAAAGACAATTTAAACGAAGGTACCTTAAATACGACAAGTTGTCCGGCTAAGCAAAAAATCTTGCTTTTTGATAAGGGTCCATGGTATTGCACTTCTGTGGCAAATGGAATGCATCCGACTCTTGTTCAAGACATTCAATAAACATGTTAAGTGCATATGTATTCCCTTTTTTCTTGAGTCTGCTTGCTCATGCAAAATGAAATGCGTTTAATATAGATTAAAAATGAATGACATTTAATCGTGATTAATCGAAATTAATCCACAGCAACCCTGTGATTAATCTGATTAAAAAAAAATTATCGTTTGATAGCACTAATTATATATATATATATATATATATATATATAATGTGTGTGTGTGTGTGTGTATGTGTGCAGGTGTGGGTGTTTGTGTATTTAACAAAACATCCATAAATTCACAGATAACTGTCACCCCTGTGCTGTAGTTACACTTTAATTGCACATACACATTGACAGAGGCTTCCAACTTCCTGTGTGGTTTGATAAATGTAAGAACACAGAGTGACAATGAACTTCATGGCCTCATTTCCAAGAAGCAGTAGGAATTTCAAAGAAATACCAACCGTTTGCCCAGTCCTGTTGTTGTGGACGGACAGGTTGTACAGCATCAGGCTCTCCGGATAGTACTCTGCCATAGGTTCATTGCTTTCTTTGTTACTCCATCTCATTGGACCCGTGAGGTTGAAGAACATGTGACGCTCCTTCACCACAATGTTAACGACCGGTGGTCCAAAGGTTGCTGATAAGTAGAGAAAATGAAACCAAAAACATGCATCAGACACCTCAGCCTGCAGCACCCACTGCTACAAGGGCTTTTATGTCTGTCAGCTTACTGATGTTAAACTCAATACCTCATATGTGTGCAGCAAATTCAAAAGGAATTTAGATCAAGAAATCAATTAAAGCCCTTCTTGTAGCTACACATCTCAATAAAAAAATGTATGCCATCAAGGTTTTCATCAAAAAGTGTACATTTTCTGAACTTAATTATACTGTAATTACATATCAAGATATTTACGTTTATTACTACACATAGTAAACTATGAATAATACACACATACACAATGAAATACAGAGGTACTGTGGTCAATTTAATGATGTTGGTGATTGACAGGTCGGCTTACTGTCTAAGACGGGGTCGAATCGGTCTGTGTGGTTCCACTCTGAGGCTCCGTTCTTGCCCACAGCCTTGACCCTGGCATAGTACTTTTCATCCGGGTCACTGGTCTCATCAGATAGGTCACACATCGTCTTCTTCAGCTTCTTGCATGCCTTGACCCCTTTCCATACCTCCTGGCCGGGTGCTGCCTTGTCCTCTTCTCCGTATCTGCAGGAAGGAACAGTCTCAACTTCAGACCTTTTAAAAACCCGGCTGGAGTAGCATGGCAAGACCCTCACCAAGGAGCTGACATGAGTCAACACCTCCTTTGTTCTTTGTTCTTCATTTTCTTTCAAGTAATAGTCTACTTTCACATTGTTGTGTTTTTCACACAAAAACAGGATCTGGTAGTTAGGCTATACATCCATATTCTGTAACGACTTATCCAACATGGGTTGTGTTGTGCCAGGAGTTTATTGTAGGAAACAGCCTGGAGCAGATGTCAGTCAATCTGAGGGCACGAGCTAGCACACATAATCAGACTCGATTTAAAAAGCCCCAGTTCACCTACCCACATGCATTTGAACTACAGGAGAGAATCTGCGTGTAAACGCCACCCAAACAGTGACAGTGATTCAACTCACAGCACTGGAGGCCGTGAGGCCGCAGTGTTAACCACCAAGCCAACCAGCAGTCATACAGTTAAGCAGAAGTAATTCTGAACACTGGCAATTCGGAAAGATACACAGTATTTGATTGCCACTCTTCTGTTGCTACTGTATATGACAATGGAGTATTTGGGTAAAGTGATACAGACGAACCAGAACTAGAGGCTGATCACGCCAGTAGCTGATTGACCTGGAGAATCCCTTACATTGCATACTCCACAGCGTACCATGTCCCCTTCGGTGTCCCTGGTCCAGGACTCCACTCCACTATGTTCCGCAGATTTATAGACTTGAACTTGACATCCTGGGGTGGAGCGACAGCAGCTCC